CAGATGCATTAGCTGAAATAAAATAAAAATGCTCACATCAATAACCATAATTAGTAATCAATAAAATTCAAATAATGATGAATCCCATCCAAGATATCTGGCACAACATTAATATTAAGGCTTTGGACAGTAATATTAACTTGTAAGTGATACCTTGTTGCAATGATCAAACATTGACAATAACTCATGTCAAATAATAAAACTATCTTTGGATCGATTCATTATTCACATGTAAACCTTATAATTATCACACGCTTATCATCGCAGATGTGTATACAGTCTAAATAAATATTAACCTTCCTTTGGGCCGATTAAATATTTACACGAAAGCATATACACAAACATCTCACATTCCTCATGAACAATCTACACAAGAGATGTTACTTTGGCAACTTCTTGTTTTAATTAATCAATTGGAGTGAGAGACAACCTTAATACCTTAGTGTCATAATATTTGAATTAAATAATTGATTAAAAACCAAATTAAATTTAAATTAAATTAATTTAAATTTTCATAGCTTAAATAGGGCCCATAACTTAATTGAATAAATTAAGTATACCAAAGTGGACCCATAATTTAATATGAAAAGCCGAGGCTTAACCATAGTGAACACGAAGTTCGCTTGACTTCGAACGCGAGGTTCGTCTGTATTGAGCACGAGACTCACCTAAGAACGAACGCAAGGTTCGTCTGAAAATGAACGCAGTGTTCAACTTGAGAACGAACGCGAGGTTCGTTTGAAAAATGAACGCGAGGTTCGACTGAAAATGAACACAGGGTTCAACTTGAGAACGAACACGAGGTTCGTTTGAAAAAAGAACGCGAGGTTCGACTGAAAACGAACACAAGGTTCAACTTGAGAACGAACGCGAGGTTCGTTTGAAAAATGAACGTGATGTTCAACTGAAAACGAACGCGAGGTTCGACTTAAATTGAGCGCGAGGCTCACCTGAGAACTGAGCACGAGGCTCACCTTAGAACTGAGTGCAAGGCTCACCTTAGAACTGAGCGCGAGGCTCACTTTAGAACGAACGCGAGGTTCGTTTGAATTTGAGCGCGATGCTCACTTGAGAACGAACGCGAAGTTTGGTTAAATTGAGCACGTGGCTCACCTGAGAACGAACACGAAGTTCGTTTGAAGCTTTCAAGCCTCGCCAAAAACTGAGGTAACCACCTCCTTAATTTTCACCACGTTTTAACGCACAAACCCTTAGGGTTTCAATCTGAAACCGCCGCCGCCATTGTTCCTGCACCCAAAGGTCAAAACCCTAGGGTTTCCTGACGCCGCCGTCGCCGTCGGAGTCGAGAGCGAGGCCACCAGCGACACTGCGCTGGCGAGGATCACGGGACCGATGACCAAAAAACCAAATAGATCCAAAATTTCTCGATTATATTTCAAAAACAGATCTAGAATCGAAAAAAAATTTCGTGATCCAGATCCAAGAAAAAATCAAAGTAAAAATCCAAAAAATTCCAAAATGTTACTGTTCATGGTTAATTTTTACTGTTTACCCAAAAAATAAAAAAAATGTAACTGTTCATCCGAGAACAATTCTTAATCAAAACCAGAGATTTTAAGATAAAAAAACCCAATTTTTTAAGAACTTAAACCCCTAAGAATTAATCACATGTGGCTCTGATATTTAAGATAAAAAAACCCAATTTTTTAAGAACTTAAACCCCTAAGAATTAATCACATGTGGCTCTGATACCACTTGATCGATCTTATAAAAAACTTGAGATCTAAACCATAAAGCCATGATTAATTCAAAGAGATTTGCAAGAATCAAAAGAAAAGAGCGGAAGCTTATACCTGAATCCATAGATTAAACTTGAGATGGGTTTTGGTTCTTCTAACTTTAGGGTTTCTCTAGCCAAATTTCTCTCTAGATGGGGGTGAAGAGAATTAGAGAATGTAACCCTAGATTAGGGACCATAACCACTTATTTATAGATGTTATACATTTGCAATTTGGCCCCTCATCAAATCACAATTACAACCTGGTATATGCACATATAACACCATGATTATATTTAAATACCCATTAACCCAAATTGATTGATCACTTTAGTGGGTTATCATGAAGTATATTTATACACACAGATTAATCATATGTGCCAACAAATAGATTTAATTAGATTTAAATCCAATAATTATGACTTAATAATTGGACACTATGATGAAGTTGATTGGTTTGGAGTAGTATGATGGATGGTTGAAGTGGATGAGTTGAGAACTAAAGAATGGTTGTGCAAAACTGGTATCATTCAATTCAAGAGAGTAGATGTGCTTTTTGTAAGCGGAGGACGAGACTTAGGAATCATTTGTTTTTCAAATGTACCTTTTCTCAAGAAGTGATATCTGCACTACCCCAAGAGATGAAAAGGGAGTGTACAAACTATGAACTTAAATGTTTAGATGCTATTTACAAAATTTGGCAGAAAAGAAATGAGAGATTGTACAAACTGGGAACTCACTCGATCTCCTCAACAAAGTGATAGGAAGCTGCGTATCTGATGCAAAGTCTGAAGTTGGTGTCGGTGGTGTTTTGAGGTTGTTGTTTCTTATGTATGAGTAGAAAGTTTTGGTTTTGTTTCTATGACTAGGTTTTTCCTTCTTGCTTAGCAACATGTTTGTTTGACAAAGATGCTTCGGCCTAGTTACGCCTAAGGACCTTTATAAGTTTAGTTTGAGCAATAAAGTAGTTCTTCTCACATTGTTTAAAAAAAATATCCGCTGGACCCAATAAATAGATATAAGAGAAAATTGTTTGGAGGAACTAAATATAATTGGGCTATGCATCCTAACCTCCCAACTAGAGTCTATGCATCCTCACCCCCCAACTAGCGTCAACCACTTGTAAGCACTTTGACCCAAGTTTTCATGCTTTTACACCCCTAGCCCAATATTGTATATGTACTTTATAGTGTATTTTTGAGTATTGCCCATTTTACCCTTTGTACTCATTTGTGGAGGGAATAAAGTATTTTGTCTTATTGGCCAGCATAGCAAGCCATCATGAATTCATAAGTCACTTCCGATTTAGTTATGGCTGGAGAGGTTTTTTGATGGGAAAGGGAAAATTAGAGGGAAATCTATTTAGTTCCCTCCAAAATAATGTCTCATATCAATGTATTACATTCTTTCCTCTTTAGTCCTAAGACATTCAATAACCTTCAACAACCAAAATTTTCTTAACTTTTTCCTCTTAACTTCTTCAACAACAAAAATGAAAGATTATTTAATGTGTGTGATTTTATTTAACACTAATATAACCCTCATTAAAGTCATTTCAGCAACAAGCTTAGCTGAATTGAAGATGCAAGCTGTAGAGAATTTTAGAGTACCGTACGAAAGTTTGTTGATAAGTTACTCTATCGGCAAGTTTCCTAATGTCTCGTTTGAGCTTTCAAAAGATGAAGATATTCTCAACATGATAGATTATCATCGTTCAATGGGGTTAAATACGAAACCATGACTATTACTAAAAGAGATGAAGGATTCACACATGCCATAGGGACAGAAACAGAGCTTAAGTAAGTATTCAAAAATATATTATCAAGTTCTGGATACACGTTATAATGGGAACTGTGTTTTTACGTTTTATATGTGACCTGAAGACATCGCACATGACATATTGCCTTTATTTGTGACTCATTGACTTTTTGTGATATTTACGTCTTATATGTGACTTTACTGGTAATTGTCACACGTGACTTATATGTATTGTCACATGTGACTTTTATTGTGATTGTTGCTTGTTGTTGAAGTATGCGGTCCATATCATATTAGACGTATCGCGATTGCCTTCGGGTTTTCCCCTTCAACATTAAATCGGGTATGTTTAAGCACCTAATTTACATCAAACGTGTATGCTTGTTTAGTCCCAGTTTGGCTATCCTTGAAAAAAAAAACTTTCCTGTGGCTAAATCAATATGATCTAGCAACAGCATGATCGTGGCCTTGTCGGATGGAATTGCTCCAAAACTAATATAGTTTTTTAAAATTGGAGTATCCATAAGCCTTCCAATGTTCAGCCCTCATTCGTGGAACAATTCTATCCATGAATTGACAATATCAACGTATATTGTAACAAATTCTTATATCATGCTTACTGTAAAACACAACACAAGAGATACTAAATCTACTTAGGGTTCTAATGCGGATAAATTATCATGCTTACTGTAAAACACAACACAAGAGATACTAAATCTACTTAGGGTTCTAATGCGGATAAATTCACAATGCCAAACAAATTAAATGAACAAATCAAGAGATACTAAATCTACTTAGGGTTCTAATGCGGATAAATTCACAATGCCAAACAAATTAAATGAACAAATGTGAATAATTGGGTTGATACTTACATCTCAGGCTTTTATTGTAGCTGATTCAGATGACTGAGATGATGAATTCGCCATCCTGTATTTTCAGCAGTGAGTGTCATTGTTTGGTGAAGAAGAGGGACTCTAGCGGACGACGAGCTTGCGGTCGAGGGGGGAGTCCTTGCGACGAGCGGACGACGACGTAGTAATCCGACAACGATCGGGCGACGAGCGGATGAGCAGCCGATAAAATACCTAGATTCGAGAGTCGACGAAGACGATTCAAAGGAGAGTCGCTGAAGACGAAGACGNGGCAGCGGTGGTCTTGAGAGGAAGAGGGTTCAAAACTAATAAATCTAGTTGCAGACGACGAGGGTTTCCGTAATAGCGCTCAGAAAGGGATTATGGGAATAGTACAATTTTAAATTGAGAAGGGTAATTTGGGAATGCACTTATATGGGTATTGGGTCTGTACACTTTTGGGAGTTAGTTGATTTTATTTTTCTGTATAAGGGCTTTTGGGTTATGGTTCTTGGGCTGGGGATGAGAATGCATGGCCCAATTATTTTTAGTTCCTCCAAGCAATTTTCCCTAGATATAAACTTGGCGTAGTCAACATTCCAAGGCCTAGCCCAGGGATCCGACCCGATCCGCTCAGCGCACCACAGAAACCCAGATTCGTCTTCGGTAAAACCCGAAGCAGCGAAAGAACTCCCAACGAAAAGGGGAACAAAATTCGTAAGCCTCCTTTCAATCCGAGCTCTCCAATGGCGGAAAAGCCCCAGCCAGCGCACGTGCTCTACTGCCAGGTATGCGGCCTCCCCGCCGAGTACTGTGAGTTCGGCCCCGACTTCGAGAAGTGCAAGCCCTGGCTCGTCCGAAACGCTCCCGATCTCTATCCCGATCTCATCAAAGGTGAGGAATATATATTTACGATACTACCCCTGAGCGTCTCTGTTCCGTTTTTTTTTCTTTCTTTTCTTGCCGCCCTGTAGAAGGCTGATCGATTTTGTTCTTGGTTTTGGATTCAGAGGCGAATGATAGGGATGCAGATAAGGCTGCTGACCAGCTTCAATCGACGGCGATTTCCGGCGATGGCGGTGGTGTGGGCCCCTCCAGTAGGTCAGGTAAATTTATTCATTTATTTATTTGGGGGAGAAAACAAATTGGGTTTGTTTAATGGAGAGTTGAGATTGATCAAAGTTTCATCTTTGGTTGTGGACTCAGGGGCTAGGGTTAGATAGGTGCGTGTATTTGATATGGTCAAGTGTTTTGAGTGGAAGCACTTTTGTTCGTCATCCTCGGTGAAAACTCTACTTTTTAAGCAAAATGAGTGTGGCATCACGTAACTGTGAACTTAAATGTTTAAAATGAACTTAAACAAAAGTCAAAAATTTTGACTCCTGGTTGATCAGAAGCCAACTTTTCTCTATAAGGTTAATGACACGTAGAGTAGGAAAGTTTTTTGTTATTATCTCACAATGGATCCTATCAAAACAGTTGTGCATGCAAGCGGGTTGTTCTGAGCCATAAAAGGCTAGTGGAAATTTCCAAGCGGCCGCCTACTTCCTTCAGTATGGCTCTCAGACCAGGCTGCTTGCATGCACATTGTTCTGATAGAATTTGTACTCTGTTTTTCGAGGTTTGTTTTAATGATCTCTAAAGTGGGAAAATTTTAGACAGGAGATAAATTGTTCATATACGTCGATTTTGAAAGAGGATTTTACGTTATTTCCTGTCATGTGCTTGTAGGATGTGTTTGACTTGAGGTTTGAATATGAGATCTAGGTGAGCTCATGGAACTATTGGTCTTACCTCATCTTAGCAAACTTGAGATTTCTATAGTAGATACTTTAGATTCATGAATCATGATAAAGTCTTGCCCGAATTGTGGCATGTTTCAGCTCGTGGGGCAGATCAGTATGTGTGTCACACTCGTTGATCAGTACATCATTTGAGGGGATTGCGGCGGCGGCCGTGCATGGGGTTTTGGGGGGGCGTGTCTTAATCAAATTGGTAATTGGAGGCAGCACTATGTATTAGTTGTGTGCATGTGGATGAAAAGGAGATGTGCATATATATAAAAGACTTGTAAGACTAAGAACTATGATACAGAATGACACATTTGCAATAATTAAAGAAATTGCTTTAATTTTAGAAGCATGATCATGATTCTAATTGTGTGTAAAACTCAAGGTTCAAATGCTAAGTTAAAGTCATGGCACAAATCCCAAAAAGGTAAATAAGACTGTTAAGAAAAGGTTAAACACATACTAAATACACCAAAAGAGCTTGATGAATCATTGTCACCAATTCTCCTCTAGAAGCCCACAAGAAAACTTGCTACACTGGTCATTGGTCGAGGGCTTGTCGAGGGGTTTTGGAGTGAACTAGGTTAGAAGTGTTCTAGTTGATCATAGAATATCAATAAATTTTAAGGAAAATCCTATAGAATACCTACTAAAAGACAACAATGTTTTATAAGTTAGAATGTTGGATGGTATGGATGGTATGCTATGTTGCATGGACACTTCTATTATGAAGCTGTACACCTATACCACACCCGACACTTCCCGCACCTGTACCCGTACACGACATTCCTTGAATGTATGCATACATTTACTCAGACTTGTACTCAATTATATAATACATGTTTTAATATAGAGCACTAATTGTATAATACATAATAAAAGAAACATAAGGGTGCTATTGAAATTTTGATTCTCTAACATGTGAATGGAAAAAAAAATGATCTCATGTAAAATTATTAAATTTCAATGTTATATAGTCGTGTTCCCTTACCTTACTTTTCATAAATTTGCCGTGTCCCATACCCGTATCTGCATCCACACTCATACCCGTACTAGTACCCATGCAACATATGTAGTATGAGAATGCTAAGATGGACGAGTAGCAACTAGCAATACCCTTACTTCTGTTTAGGATCAATAAGGTAAAATCGATCAAGATGGTTGAAACATGTGTTTAGGTGAATAAGTGTGTCAATTAGCCAGGAGTAACGATAGGATCATAGTTAGTAAGCAACAATGACTAGAAATAGAATCGATTGGATGTTGGTGGAGGCAATCAAAAGTATATGATAGTGGTTACTTTAACCATGGAAATGACTTTAACACAGCTGAATGAAATAAAAGATTCTTGTAGATAACCCCAAAAATTTGGTATAAAGCCTTTAGTGTGTATTTTCAATTCTTCTAAGGACAAGTTTTGGGATAAAGCCGTTGGTGTGTATTTTCAATTATTCTAAACACAACTACTTTTATTTCATAGGTAGAACATATAACGGAATCTCCGTCCTAAACGCCTTCTCCCTTCTTTCTCTTTGCTTTGTATCATAGTCACTTTGATTTTCCCTGGGAGCAACAAAATGCACAAGGTTCCTCTTGCTGTGGAGGCTGGAAAATGGTTATATGTACATAGCCTTACTTCTCCATGCAGAGCGGTCATTTCCAATAATCAAAAGTTCACTTGACTATGTTGAATAACCTTACTCTTCATTGGAGGCTCAGCTCACTTCGATTTCCCAAAACTCCTCAAAATGCATTTATCCATTTAAGTTTTTAACAAAACTTTAAAGTGGCTATAGTCTCCTGTCTTTGAAATGTAGCAAACAACGTTTTAGATCAATTAACGCCCTTTGATTTTCTTATAGGTTATCTGCTATTCTGCTTACTTGAGACAATAGAGTGCTCTGGATGGATTTTTTTTGTATGATAAAGATAGATGTATTGGCTATATGGGAGGAAATTGTTGCATGGTCTCTTCTCATAGCCAAAAAATATATATATACTTCGTCTCCCTTTAGGCTTTCTGAAACATTATTACTTTTACTGTTCTTTTTTGAACTGCCTCTTCATCCCAATCATCCTTGGGATAAGGTTTGTTCAAGTGTGATTTTGTTGATGGTGCTCATGTTCAGCCACGATTTTGTGTGCAAACATTGTGATCTCTTTACTCCAGTTTTGAGTTAAGATATGTTAAGAGTAGTTGAGTTCTCTTCTCGTGGGCATAGACAAAGTAGAAACTAGAGAAGCGGAGAAGCTGCTCAAATACCGAGGGTAATGGACCCAGAATCAGCGACACAGTAAGGGAAACCTAAGAGTTTCTTGAGTGGAGAAGATGATTCGAGGGATGTTCAAGGAAAAAGAAAAGAAAGAAGAGATACAGATAAGGGATAAACGCAATAAGCACTGGTTACCCTTTATTAGATTTCAGAGAATCAGAACTTCTGTAACTCTATGAGTCTAAACCTTTTATATGATTTACAAATAACGATAAAGATAAAAGGAGTCAAACTAATTCAGACCAAACTATTACTTATCAACTTGAAAACTTGCAACATATTTCATAAGATCGCTGCATGACTCGGATGTTGTGTTCAATTTTCTAAAACAACCTCCGGCAAAGAGAAACTTTGTTCAGTAAGGCGTAAGTTTTTAATGTTTGGGATGACTGACAGTCCTCCCTGGTCAGCTTTAGTCAGGATAAAGTTGTGTTTTCTTTTTATCATTATCTTCGTTTTTAAAGCGGAAAAAAGGTAAGAGTTACAAAATTCTAAGAATTTTGAACTATTAATGGTGAAGCAATTATTTTCTTGGGTTTATCCTCATCTCTCTTTCTTCTTTCTCCTCTTTTCTCCTTTTCTAGTTCTCGACAGCAGTCACCAAGCCTCTTATATCTTTTACAGAAAACTCCTTAGATTTCCCCCTTATTGTAACCCTGCCTCTGCAGGCTGCACTAAATATTTTCTTGCTTCCCTAGGCGGTGCACAATTTCATCACTTTAATAAACGATATTAACATGGCCTTTTCTTGACTTCTGCCAATAGATTTTCCTGTGGACCTTATATGTATCCTTGTTTATGATGGGGCTCATGGCTTCTTTTAACCATTGAACTGTTTGTGCAATAAATCTTCACTTGTTTTCTGAAACTCTTACTTACCGAGGTGATTCTTCTTGCTTTCTCAATTTTACAGAGTTATAAATAATACATGAAATCTCTTTCATTTGCTTTCTCGTCACTTCTCGTCATATGCTATGCTCTAGTGCAGGGAGTTAAATATTACTAAATTGAAACGTCTTTCATGGGGCAATGGATGGTACAGCCTGCTATTATGTTTCAGCTATCTGCCTTCGTTACATTTTAACCTGGTTCATATTCCTTATACTTGCATCATGCTACTGTTACACCATGCATCCAGTAGTGCCTTTCTATCGTCCAGGAAATGATTGTGACTTAGGTGTTTATAGTCTACTTGCTTAAGGATATGTTATTTCTAGTCTGAATATTTCTACCAGTGATATTTCTCCCCCATTTTCCTCAATTTACTGTTTCTTACATCAGACTCTTTTTTAATCTGCGGTCATAGTTGAACACAACTCTTTTCTGGGGCACAGAACTGTTTGTCATACGGACTTTTACGAATATGGACACCATTTTGGACTTTATACATCATATACTGTGAGCATATTTTGGATCTTGTTTTTCATTTTCTGATGATTTATGTTGTGGATCTTTTCGTCGCTTGTATACTTGTTACTGTATTTTTATGTGATGGAGCTTATGCAAAGGAATGTGAACTACAAATTGCATAATTGGATTATGTCCTGCAGAAGTTTCCTTTCATAGGTATATAAACAACAATATATCCATTGTCCAACAACTTTAGGGTGGCTACATGTTCCTTGCATAAGCAACAAATGCACTTCAAACACTTGATTCGCCTTCTTCAGGGTTTATATTTGGAAATCAAGTCAAGTTTTTTTGACAATCGCTTTGGTTTCTGTTTTATTGACTGGCTTGTGCTAACCCCTTTCTGTGTCATTTATCCATCACAGGGAACACTGCAGCATCTAAGCCAGAAGAAGTGAAACGCCTTCCTGGTGGTAAGATAAAGAAGAAGGTAAGGTTGTTAAACTTAGTTACCATGGCTTGATATTGCAGTGCTTTCTATTGATTCTAACTTCCAGTAAGAATTGAAAACTTATATCCTGATAAACCAATAAACTTCCAATAAGTAAACGACTAGCTGAAGAAGGATTATTTTTTCTCATTTCCATCTCCTTTTTATTTTTGTTTCTCATGAATCTCACTTCCTTTGCAAAATTGTAGAAAAAAATTCATCCTTCTCTCCTCATTCAATATTTTTGAGATTTCACTTTTTGCTTTCTATTTGAGGATTAGTTTGCTCCGGACATATTATAACTTTACCTATCTTTTGAAGCCCCTGCATCTTATTTAGTTGTAGTAATGTGCGGTTCACTAGTTTACGAGTAATGACTCTACCGTAAACAATGTAATCGTGGTTGCTACTTTCCAGGAAAAACAAGAAATTATTATTGAAAAGATTGTTCGCAATAAGCGTAAATGCGTGACCGTTGTGAAAGGTCTAGAATTATTTGGTGAGTAACCTTAAGCTTTTCTAATTATTCAACAATTCAAAAGTAGGCTACATATTCATAACTTGCGTTCTTTTTAATCTGACAATAGACTTGTGTGGACAATGTAGGTGTCAAACTGAGTGATGCTTCTAAGAAGCTGGGGAGAAAGTTTGCAACTGGAGCTTCTGTTGTCAAGGTGCAGTAGCCTGAGTTAGAATATCTTTTTCCAGAATATCTTATACGGTTTTTGACCGCAGAATTTGGACAATTGATTCCAGGGTCCAACTGAGAAGGAACAAATTGATGTCCAAGGGGATATATCTTATGACGTTGTAGAGTTCATAACAAATACCTGGCCAGATGTGAGTTATTCTTGTTCTCATTCTTTTCTGTCATCTGACTTTTCTGCATCGCATCCAGCCCGCAGGCTGCTAACACCACCACCAGCAGCAGCAACAATGGAAGGAAAAAGGAAGGAAAAAGAAGAAAAAGAAGAAATCTTAAATTAGTATCTTAACAAGAATATAATGCTTGAATTTTCATTTTCAGCCTATTATTTCACATAGGTGATAGCTAAGAACCATTGGAAAAGGAGCAGAGTACTACTGTACTAGCACAATACACCGACGTGCGGAAATAACTTGTTTTTTCTTCCTTAAAGACAATGTTGCACACACATCACATACTAGTAGGCATGATCTTTAAAGATTTTCTTGGGGAATTTTCAAGCAAGCAGAAAGTAAAATGAATTGATCAGTTTGATATATAGGTCATATCTCATTCCATCATGTTTGCTTGTACAGATTTAGGCCTACCTAGTTAGAGCCAATAAACAATAAACTGTTAATGCTTTCAATCATTCTTTTATGCTTTTTTAGATAATTCAGTAGGAAGATCCCTGACCTTTTCACTTGCTCATTTTCTACTTTCTACTAACAGTAAGCCTGATTATTATTGCCTTCAAAGTTCTCTGATTACTTAAATAAATAAATAAGCCTGATTGTTAATTTTGTATTACATTATCCCTACATTGTTTTAAATATAGATGATATATCCGATATGTCTCTGATATAGCCTTTTATAAGGCTTGCCGCAAAACAATATGGTCTCAATATCCTTTACCGATTTTTGGCAATTTTGAGCTATATATCATGAATTTCCCAATATATTAGGTGACATTCATCCTCACGAAATCGGTTGAAACGTAGCAATGTAGATTTGGACTTTTATGTGTTTTAAAAGATCAATTTGGATTTATGGTTCAATTGAGGTCTAAACCCGAATGAATATACGCATAGTTAGAGCTGAATTTAGACCAAAATTCTTCGACAAGAGTTTTGCAAAAGATATAATCTTTTTCCACAACTCCATTATTTGGTTCACCAAATATTAACATCTATGATATGTATATAAGCATTATCCGATATACCACTCCAATACTTATTGAATATCTCTAATATATCCCCAAGACCTGTCATTTGATATGGAATTTTTCCGTCTGACATGTCACCGACATCCAATATTTAAAACACGGCCTATATGGGCAAATATTTTTGTTGATGTAAAATAGCAAAATTTCATGAGTTGATTGTAAACTGATGATTAATTTGCAAAAAATGTTATTATCTTTTAGTTCTCTGAAGATTCAAGGTCTAGAAGTGGTGAATGACAACAAGAAAAACCTCAAGTCATTTCAACTTATTCACTTTGGTTGGTATTGGAAATGAGTTGAATAGATTGCATGCAAAGAACTAACTATTTATTTTAATAAGGAATTTGGAGAAATGTGGTCGCTCATAACTTAGAATTTTGAAGGGTGTAAACTTTTACAGGCTTTAAACACAATAAGATTGCTCTGGTTATTGTTAAATCATCTGATTTTGGTATACCATTGATGATCGGTAGTTTCTTGATATGCATTAAGCTAAGTTGGTGAGCAACCAGTAGTGCAATACAATAATGAAAATATGGAAACCGGGCAAGATGAAAAGTGAAGATGAACCTATAAACCAGACCTATTCCGGGGTTTCTGCTATGCAATAGTACACCCATGTATCCTACAAGAACAAGAACAACAATAAAGCCTTTATTTCAATTTATATGGGGTCGGCTACATAAATCATATTCTTAGTTTTAAGAAATACTTGTGACTTCTAGAGCACAAATTTCATAAATTCATTTTTTTGTCACATTCTTCTAACATTCTTCCTAACATTAAGTGTCTAATATGACCAATGTTTTAAATATCGGCCGATAAACCGATATTATCGGCGATTTATCGGTTTTGGGAGCATTCTGCTATGATAAGTTCGATTCTAAACCAGTTATCGTTTTTGGATGTTTATCGCTGATAATGCAGCGATAAAATGAGTTATCGGCCGATATAGTTGGCCAAAAAATTAGAATTATCGGCTTTGGTTTGAGTTTTGATTTTGGGCTACGGGCACTTATTCAATGCACTTTAAACCCGACCTGACCCGAGTTTCTACCATTGACTAGTAATCCTGAACATAATTTTTTATATTTTGGTATGTTTATATTTTATTAAGTATGGTTAGATTATATTTTAGAATATTATATTATGTATATCACCATCTGGTAATGTCACTCCAATAAATACTACTTATCCCCGATATATATCCGATATCCGCTATCCAATATAGATTTTGGCCGTCAGATAAATCCCCGATAATCTATTTTGAAACCTTGAATATGACATAATGCAACAACAACCAAGCCTTTATCCCAAATGTTTGGGATCGACTACATGAATCCTATTTTTTTATTTCATTCTGTTACGAGTCATTTCCTCCATTACGTTAGTCTTTATCATATCCTTCATTCTAGGTCGACCTCTAGATCTCCTTGCCCCATTAACTCTAATATTATCACTTTTCGTAATCAGTGTACTAAAGGGTCTCCTTTGTACATCACAAAACCACCTTAATCTATTCTCTTATTTTATCCCCAATAGACACCTCTAATTTACTACGGATGCACTCATTCTTTATCCTTTCTTTTAATGTATTCCCACAAGACCATTGCAACATTCTCATTTCTGCTATACTCATTTTTTGAACATGTTTTTTAATTGCCTAACATTCTGACCCATAAAGCATAGTTAGTCTCATAACCGTTCTATAGAATTTTTCCTTTAGTTTTATTGGTATTCTACGATCACATAATCCTCCCGAAGCACTCTTTCATTTTAACCATCCCGATTTGATTCGATGATGTTCACAACATCATCCTCTATCTCATCATCATGCCTAATAATAGATCCTAAATAGCTAAAATGATCAGTTTTAGGTATTTTTTGGCTATCAATATGTACCATAGACTTTCTTTCTTTTTTACTTTTACTAAAAATGCATTTCATATATTCTGTTTTTGTTCTACTAATTCTAAAATCTTTACACTTAAGAGCTTGTCCCTATCTTTCTGCTTGAAAAATAGTGCCTCTTCTAGTTTCATCAACTGATACTATATCATCAGCAAATAATATACACCATGAAATTTCATTCTGAATGTGCTTAGTAAGTTGGTCCATAACTAATGCAAAAAGATAAGGACTTAAAGCTGACTCTTGGTGTAAATCTATGGTAATAGTAAATGGTTTAGTCTTTCCTTCATTAGTTATTACTCTAGTTGTTACTTTATTATACATATATCTTTAAACACATCAATATATACTAGATACATGTTTCTTTTTTAACATCCACCACATTACCTCTCTAGGTACTCTATCATAAGTTTTTTCTAGATCGATAAAAACCATATGTAGATCCTTTCTCTTCTCTCTATATCTCTCCATTAACCATCTCAAAATATGTATAGGTTCCATAGTTGACCTCCCAGACATAAAGCCAAATTGATTTTCAGATATACATGTTTCTTTTCTTAGTCTTTGCTCAATTACCCTCTTCCAAAGTTTCATAGTATGACTCATGAGTTTTATACCTCAATAATTTGAATATGACATAATTGTGTACGTTATTTCTTCAGGGAAAGTAAGGTATTATATTTCTATTCATTTGTTGATTTAGGAAGTGAATGCACTTCTTGGGTCAAAACCCTATCTAGCAACTAAACATAGAGCCTAGCGCTATATCTGGATCAATTTTTATTCAAAAATAAGAGTATGCTTAACACATTTCGTCTAAAGGTTTAGGCGTATCATCCTATGTTTTCCATATCACAGCCATAAAAATCTCAACAAACAGAACATCTGATTTATGCTATAGATCAAAACGGCTTCACTGACTCACCTTGGATGGACCACCACTCACAATCTCCTCTAGTTTGTTAGGTACAACCTTCCCATTATCTCACTTTCTTCTCTTTCACAATAATAAGTTGAACATGCTGGTAGTGTAATATAGTTTTAAAACTAATTTATATTAAGTGTTAAACGCATTCCATCTGCCTTTCTTTTTGTTGGTCAACCAGTCTCTTGTTAGTGCTTTACATTCTAAGAAAACATCCATAATTTTGTGTTTCTACATTTGTGCGTTGAAGATATGAATTGTTATGTTTACTAGTGTATACTTAACTGATTACGTTCAATATTAGTTGACTTGTCATTTCTTAATCGATTGTCCTACATGTAGGTAATTGTTAAGCAATTTACAAGTCAATGTTTTGAATATTGGCATATTGTTGTACTTGTTGACATTTAAACCCTCCAAGTTTCCCTTGTTTTGCATTCGTATACCTTAACCTGTATTTAGCAGCACTTTCATACCTACATGTTTCCTGTTACTTTCACTCAACGGTGTTATATGTAGGGTAAAAGGGCCAAATTACCCTTCATAATATAGGGGAAAAAATCCCTCCCCACGATGCTACTTCTCCCTCACTATAACTAGTCCAACCTTAATTTAAAAGTGGCTGAAATTGATTAAATTACCCAATTTTACTTTGATATGTGTTATTACCTTTGCCAGACTCAGTTTTAGCAAGAAAACCACTCAAGAAAAAGAAATAGGGACGGGATAGATAGTGCTGAGTTATGGGGGATTAGATGTGATTAGATGTAAATAACTTCCCTCATTAAAAGAAATTGAAGTAAGGTTTGTCAGATTATTTAAGGGTATTAATGTCCTAAATATGTCGCATGAACACATGGGAATTTTTTTGAGCATATTATAACGGGTGTCTAACAGTGCATGCTCCTTTTGATGATAAAATGAGAGAGAGAGGTTGAGATGGTTCGGTCATGTACAACAGATGCCTCTTAGGGCACTAGTTAGGGAAAAGTGAAACTATTGTAGTTAATGGTGCAAAGAGATTTGGTTGAAAGCGATTAAGAAGGATATGATCATGGTTAACATAAAGGAGGAAATGTCACAAAATAGAACTAATTGAAAGAATAGGATTCATGGAGCAAACCAAAGAAATTTTAGATGAAGGCTTTATTGTTTTTGTTGAGTGTAAAGCAAGGAAAACTTTCTGATGCACATAAATGCCAATTAGCCTATCTGTATTGGCCTAGAAGAGTGCATCACATTTAATCAACGATATTATATATTATCTAGTTCAACTTTGTTCTTGCCTTCGCTGGTATTATAGCATTTTTACACTCGATGATAATTGTTGCTTGTGATGTCTCAGGTGCCAGAGTCTGCAATCTTTTTCATGGAAGATGGACGGAAAATACCTGCTGCTTAAGAGCTTGATCCCGATACTTCGTGAGAGCAAATTACCAAGCCAATATACTACGTAAACATCAAGTTTTGTGGGGCTTCCCCACAATAACACCGTATCTTTATTTGCAACCCTCTTTCACGTAACTTCCTCATATCCATCTGTTATGCATGGGTGGCGAAAGTTAGTTCACAGTTTAGTTTGTATGGGATGTTAATTCTCTCAGGACAATTTTGGCGAGAAGTTTTAAAATTTAACAACCAGTTATGATGTGTTTGCCTTGTGTAGAAGCCTTAAATGTGCTTCCAGAAAATTTCCAGTTACTAAGCTTTATATTGCCACTCTTGTAAGCCTCCATTTTAGCATGAAATTTATTATAGGCTGCCAGCAGTATTATTGCTTCAGTATGTTTGTTCTCTTCAATGAATGAACGAGATGAAGCAAAATATGAAATAAAGGGTATGGCATCATTAATGATGACTTTGGAGGCTTGTTCTTGGAATGCTATGAAGATCTCAGCCAAATTTCTTCAATTATTTGCAGCAAGTTTGAGAGTGTTGACATAAATTTTGCGGATCTTTTTAAGGTTCTTTGATCATATTGGACCCAACTTTGAATGAATAAAGTCTTAAATGTACAACAGCTGACTGTATGTCAAGCATTCACGTGTCTTCGAATTTTCTTATGGAGCCATGAAATAGATTAACTTGCCTCTCAAAGTTCTAATCCGAAACGGTAAAAAAGCATAAAATAATTTTTTTTTAACTGATGTATGTAATTAACCGCTAAATCAGAATTTTTATAATCCATTGGATCAAAGTTTTGAACCATTAACCAACAAGATTTGGAAGAGTAATGACAAATGACAACGTTTAGATAGGGTTATGATATGAAAAAGGGAAAAATGCTTCCGGCCCCCAAAACATAAGAAAACGTGCTCCCCTCCCCCCTCCTGCCCAAAGATTTTTTTAACGGGTGCTTTGCTCCCAAAATCGCTCGCGATTTTCTTCCAGCCCCCAAAACGAATTCCCAGGCGTAACTCCATTTAAACCCCTCTCGAAATGCCCAAAATACTCTTCGCAGCCTGTGATCGTCGCCCTCTCACGTCGGAAACATGACGTTTCGACTGTAGGCATTAAATGATGATTAGAATGCTTTTTTGATTCTCATTTCCCTCCAAAATTATCACCAGATATATTTTCCTTCCAGCCATAATAAAATCGCTGAGTTCCTCCCCATTCTATTATCCCAACTAATTTGTTCATTTCACTTAATTCTCCTCAATAAAAGCCTCTTCGATTCTTCAACTACGCCCTGTAATAAAATGGCGGATGGATCTCTTCTATGCGTGGTAACGAAGGCAAAATGCAAGAAAGGTGGTGACGGTGTATTCGTCGTTATCAAAGAGAATACAGAAATAATCAGCTTGAAATATCAAGTGTCGGAAAGGCTTAAAATACTAATGTAATCTCTTTCACTGAAGTTCATATGTGAAAGGAAAAAAGAAATTCAGTATTTCAATTGACAATGACGATGACTTAAATTTGATGTTCGAGTATTGTCGGCGTAATGGATTTACAGACGCAAATTTGTATGCTACCTCCGCTGGGGAATCCTCAACTTCGCAGAACACGCAGACTACGCCGGAAACTGCGTAGGAATTACACTCCAGATTTCCTTTTGAGTTCACTGATAGGTTTTGCCATTAGTTGTTAACCTTATGCATTGGTTGCTTAGGTAATGTGTTGGTTGTCAAGGTTATGTTAAGGACTGGTTGTTAAGGTTATTTGTTCGCTGTTACGTATACTAGTTGGTTGCTAAGATAATGTGTTTGATGTTAAGCATATGCGTTTGTTGTTAAGGTCACGAGTCTGTCTTTAAGTATAAGGGTTGGTTGTTAAGGATATGTGTTGGCTGTTACGTTTATGAGTTCGCTGTTAAGGTTATACGTTCGTTGCTGAGGCTATGTATTTTTATTACTACTTCAGGACAATACCGACAGAAAATTCACGGTGCGTAGATACCACGTTCACCCAAACCTGTAATGAGCGTATTCCTAATGACAACCCCAACGGCGACTCGATCATGCTACTGGAAGACATGCTTAATCACCAAACAGAGATCCTAACTGAGTGACACACCTCCATACGTGAAGTTGGTCAGAAATTTGATAGTGCTACTGAAGTTAGATTAGCACTTCAATACTATTCAATTGCTAAACGGTTCGAGTATGATTTTTACCACAATGAACAAAGGCGCATAAGAGTCTATTGCCGATTCAAGCACACACATGGTTGCCCTTGGATGTTGTTTGATTCCCCGCTCAGAAACTGGTCTATCATGTCCATAAAGAATTTCGAATCTACCCACACATGCGGTCAACATGAAGCAAATGCTGACAACTCAAGGGCATCAAGGAAGTTCATTGCTAGCCAAATACAAGCTGTTTTGAAGGTTAGGCCAGATATTCGTGCAGTTGATATCAAGAACGACATGCTCTCTAATTTTGGCATCAAGATTAACTACAGTAAAGCGTGGTGGGGGCAAGGAGACAGCGCAACAGGACCTGTTCGGTGACAATAATGAGGCTTACGATTCACTGAGATGATCCTTATCTTTTTTATTCTTCTGAAATCACTCTTACGTTTTGGTTGCTAACTATACGTAGTAGTTATTAAAGTTGTTAGTTCGACGTTAAGTATACGGGTTGGTTGTGAAGTTTGAAGATCAGTTGTTATGGTTATGAATTCGTTGCTAAATCTACTACTTACGTTTTGGTTGCTAACTATACGTATTAGTTGTTAAAGTTGTTAGTTTGTCATTAAGTATACGTATACGTGTTGGTTATGAAGTTTGAAGATCAGTTGTTGTAGTTATGAATTTGTTGCTAAATCTACTACTTACATTTTTGTTGCTAACTATACGTATTAGTTGTTAAAGTTGTTGGTTCGTCGTTAAGTATACGTGTTGGTTGTGAAGTTTGAAGATCAGTTGTTATGGTTATGAATCCATTGCTAAATCTACTGCTTACATTTTGGTTGCTAACTATACATATTAGTTGTTAAAGTTATTGGTTCGCCGTTAAGTATATGTGTTGGTCGTAAAGTTTGAAGATCAGTTGTTATGGTTATGAATCCGTTGCTAAATGTACTGTTTTGTTGTTATATTCATGCAAGTATGAATCCATGATGCATGCAACTAATCCAGGGAGTCGTGTTGTTATTGATACTGATGACGGGAGGTTCAGGCGATTGTTCATTAGTTATAATACCTGTATTGAGGGGTTCATTGCTGGGTGTAGGCCTCTATTATTTTTGGATGGAACATTTATTAAAGATCGTTACAGAGGCATACTACTTAGTGCTATTGGGTATGACGGCAACTAGGGAATATTTCCCCTTGCTTATTGCGTATGCGACCAAGAGAATGAGGTTAACGGGAAATGGTTCTTACAAGGATTATGGACGTTACTGTATGATAGGGAAAATCCTTACCAACCTCCACATCGACTGGTAATGATTTCCGACGCCGATAAGGGTATTAGGGCAGCAGTCGAGGAATTCTTTTCAGATGCATTCCATTCAAGGGTGTTCTACATCTAGTCAAGAATTTCAAAAAAAAAAGATGAAGGATTTTGGGCACAAGGCAAATGTCGTGACTACGTTGGACGAGCTGTTATAATCTGCGACTTATAAGTTCACAATATCTGAATGGGATGATTACATGAAAGAATTGGCAGCGATCGATCATAGGGCTTACGTCACTGTAATGGAATACTCCCCGGAGAGATGGGCAAACACGTATTTTCCTGGTATAAGGTAAGATAGTTTGGTTTCAACGTTATTTTGTTACAGCACCATTATAGTTGTTTAGGTTAGAGTTATCCTACAATTTTCTGTTAAGGTTAGATTTTTATTGTTATGGTTAGAATTATTCTGCTAGGGTTTTGCTGTTAAGTTTAGAATATTTGTTGTTAAGGTTAGGCCTTTAATGTTTAGTTTATGGTTTTATTGTTAATGTTAGTATTTTGTTGTTAAGGTATGGCCATGTTACTTCAAACGTTGTTGAGTCCTTCAACAGCTGGATAAGAAAGGCACGATTGTTGCGAATCTTACGTTTGGTTGAGATCATACGGAAGCAAATAGTGGAGCACATACATGAAAGGAGGCTAGTGGGTCAGAAATAGTCTGGATACTTATGCCCGGAAGCGAAGATGGTGCTGTGTGATAATATTCAGCATGGTCGCTGCTTGGTGATTAAACATTCGACGGAAGATATTATGGAGGTCGAGTCCAATAAAACTTGATGTGTAGATTTGAAGAATCAGACTTGTTCTTGCAGGTCCTGGGACATCACCCGCATTCCTTGCAAACATGCGTGCGCTACAATTACATGAATGGGACGAGAAATTTATCAATATTGTGATTGGTACATGACTGTTGATGCATTCAGAGCAAGTTATGCACCGATCATCTTTCCCATTCTAGATTACGAGAAGCGCTTTGTACCGCCAGAGGAGCGAGTGTTAAAGCCTCCTCTCACCAAAAAAAGACGTGACAGCCCATGCACTAGACGAATAAACAACAGGTCGCTGAACACCCATCCTGTTAAGTACTCTCGATGTAACGTGGAGGGTCACAATCGTGCAACCTGTAACGAGCCTTTATAGCTTAGCATTTTATTGTCATGTATATGGATTTGTTGTCCTGTATATCATTACAAGTGATAAGGTCATTGCTTGGCTGTTAAAGTTACTATTTGGTTATCAAGTTTATGACTTGTTTGTTGAAGTTTTGACTTGGTTGATATGTTTATCGATTGAATGTTAAGTTTACTGTTACCCACTTGTACTTGGTTGTTAGTGTCATCGATTGTTAAAATTATCAAGTATATCGTTAAAATTATTAAGTTTTATGGCTTGGTTGTTAAGGTTATTACTTGGTTGTCAAGTTTATCACTTTAATGTTAAAGTTTTGACTTGGTTGATATGTTTATCGATTGAATGTTAAGTTTACTATTATCCACTTGTTATCCACTTGCACTTGGTTATCAGTGTCACCGATTATTAAAATTGTCAAGTATATCGTTAAAATTGTCAAGTTTTATGGCTTGGTTGTTAAGGTTATTACTTGGTTGTCAAGTTTATCACTTTAATATTGAAGTTTTGACTTGGTTGATATGTTTATCGATTGAATGTTAAGTTTACTGTTATTCACTTGTTATCCACTTGCACTTGGTTGTCAGTGTCACCGATTGTTAAAATTGTCAAGTATATCGTTACAATGTTAAGTTTATGGCTTGGTTGTTAAGGTTATTACGTGGTTGTCAACTTTATTTGTTTGTTGTTAAGGTTACTATTATTCACTTGTAATTGGCTGTCAATGTTACCGAGATATTTTTGATT